ACCATAGTATCCCTAGAGAGACATTAAAAAGGCGTCATTTTTGGTATGTCTAGTTAGTAAACCTTTTACTTAGCAATTCTACACTTTATTTTGTGTGTGATTAGATCTAGTATTGGCACATACATATGTTAATCCTCACTTCTTACGTCCACGCAAATGATCAGAAATAGCTATAAATGGCAGCCATTTTGAAATTCAAACACCAATAGGAAAAAAACGGGTAACAGTTATTTTCTGCATACTTATGCCCTTTAGATAATTTTAGACATTGTTGCCCAGAACCTACCCGAAAAAATATCAAACCTAGAATTTGTTACACTAGCCGTAGACGCGCCCCCCAGTGGCACAGCGGTATGTTTGCGGACTTACAACGCTAGAATCCGGGTTTCGATACCCGTGGTGGGCAGAGCACAGGTAGCCCATTGTGTAGCTTTGTGCTTAATTACAAACAAACAAACTTAGCCGTAGACAAAACATTGCAATACAATATAGTTAGTTAGATACTGGTTTTAATTTTTTTTTTATTATTTGTGAGCGTGTTATGCTCGCGTTCAGCAGATGGTAGACAAACAACTGTTTACACTAAATATTCTTTCTCTGAACGTGTGGCACTGGACTACTGAAGAAATGCGATGCATAATGTGACACGACTGTGAGCGTGCCTTCTGATGTTTCTGTGTAGTGAACTAAGTAATGTACCGTTAGTCGACATGAAATGCTTACCAGACTTGCCTTTCTCGTCACAACGATCTAACTTTCTCAAGTTACCAATTCTGTTCATTGTGTTTCCACCATACCCGTCTTCCCCCAAGAAATGAAAGCTTTGTCTCTGTGACATATATTGCTCTAATCGGATAAGTTTGAGCGTTTTTCTTCACTTTCCACACAGCAGTATTTTCTTCCGGTTCTGTATTCTAATAAAATTATCCGAACTAATAAAGTAGCGTCTATAAGATTAACCTAGTCATTACATGTAGGACATGTAGGACAAACTTTTCTTTTGTGTTGGGTTTCAGAATTTTATTTGTAACCAAGTTTAAGTTCTAAACCTTTATCAACTAGAAAAAGAATTACACTATAAATATTAGATTATTTACTACTCAGTGTTTGTTTGGGATCACTGTTTCTCAGTGCTACAAGCGCCCCATATTTTTGCTTCAAGCCTATTGCTCCTCCCCCCACACCCCTTGTGGCTTAGTGGTATAAACTATAACGCTGAAAAACCGGATTTGGATTCCCGTGGTGGGCACAGCACATATAGCCTATTGTTAGCTTTGAGCTGAACAACAGCAAACAAACCAACCAAACCTGTTAGAAGCATGGGAAGATGATGCAGGTTTTACTTTCAAATGATGTTTAATGTTTGCTTCTAGTTAAGCACAATTTGTTTGTTTTGAATTTCGCGCAAAGCTACACGAGGGCTATCTGCGCTAGCCGTCCCTAATTTAGCAGTGTAAGACTAAACGGAAGGCAGCTAGTCATCACCACCCACTGCCAACTCTTGGGCTACTCTTTTACCAACGAATAGTGGGATTGACCGTCACATTATAACAGTTAAGCACAAAGCTACACAAAGAGCCTTATTAAAATCTGGTTTTTAGCGTTATAAGTACTGAGACTTATCGTTGAGACATTGTGGGGCTTCAATGGTTTTTAGCGTTATAAGTACTGAGACTTATCGTTGAGCCATTGTGGGCCTTCAAGTGGTGAGTAAGTAGATTAATTCCTTGTCATTTATCGGTTATTATTGTTCACGCTAATCACGGGCTTTTCCAGTAAAGTAACTTTTTCGTGGGCTGCTTTATGCCAGAGGTTCTCAAAATAGGGTTAAGGGTGCCGGTGTGCGTGTGCGGAAAGTGTCAGGGGGCCGAAACAGTACGCAAATCATACATTGCTGTTAATGTACTACGTATCTATAGGTTCATACATTGCTGTTAATGTACTACGTATCTATAGGTTCATACATTGCTGTTAATGTACTACGTATATATAGGTTCGCACATTGCTGTTAATGTACTACGTATATATAGGTTCGTACATTGCTGTTAATGTACTA